CCTAGCAGGAGACAGGGTGCAAGGCCAGTTCTGTCCCATGGAGCAACATTGTCCCACTCTCATTTGCTGTTTCTCTCTGGTTAGGTTTTTAAGCATGTGGCTGGACTCTGAATTTTGCAGGCAATTGTTTCAGTGCTGAGCCTTTTTGGTTTCTAAGGTGACTCTCCATGAGCAAACGAAAACCAGCATTGAATCTTTTTGTTCCCAGCACTTTAAATTCCAGAATATTACCTCCAGTTTGTCTGCTGCTTGTGGGGCAGCAAAGCTAGTGCAAAATATGGCTAATTACTTTACATTGTCTCTCTAGTGTGAAGTTCCTGCCACATTTCCATCTGCATCAAGCATGTCATGTTGCTCTGTGATCATTGTGGTTATGAGTGATAAATTACGAAGGTCCCACCACAGTAAAATGTTCAGTAAATAAAAAGCAAGTACATAAAATTTGACTAAATGTGAAATTGGAGGAGTTTGTTTGTTTGGGGTTTTTTATTCTATGAAAATATGGTTCTCCAAAGCATATTAAAAGAAATAAAAATGGTGAGTCACTGACACTCAGTAGGGGGTTTTTCCACTCAAGGAATAGGTTTTTGAGGAAAAGATATATGTATTTCAAATTGTATTTCTCAAATTTCAGTAATAAATGTCTTTCCTTTTTACTGCAATTAGTGTTACAGCTGTTCATGTGAATTAAGTCTTGATTCAGAATATCAAAGTGCAATTTTTTTTAAAGTTCCTCAAAGTTTGGTTAGCATTTTTTGCACCCATCTACCATTTTTCCATTTTTATTTTGTATGTTCTTGAACTTCTGTTTCTAATCATAATGTAATGAGCAAAAAATCTTTGAATATTAATCATTATTGTGAGAGAATTAACCAGTTTCATAGATCCTAAAGTACTTAGTTGTCTAAATCAGCATATGAATTTTGGTTCTTTCAGATTTGCTTCCATACTTTGTTCCAACAATCTAAGAAATATCCATGGCAAAGCAAAGAAAAGCATCCCACTTCTCTGACTGTGGTCCTGTCCTATAGATATTTTATCATGTGAACATGAAGAATAATTTTATTTCCAAAGATGCCTGTTCTCAAAAGGCTTATAACACCATTTTTGGAATGTACATTGACAATTTGAAGAAGTAAAGAAGCACAGGAAAGCAGCTAAAATTCCGATTAAGTCATTTATGTTTCATCCTTTACCACCCTAATTCATTCTTAAAATTCTGTCATGATTCTTTGATAATTGGCTAATTTTAGTTGTGTTTTACTGCTGCATGAGTATTTTATTTCCACAAACCTGAAGTTGGATTTAAGCTCTATAAATAAACACTGTGCTAGATAGTTACTGTACCACAAAATAATACTGAGAAATTTACCTATCCCTGGAATTTATGCACTCATAGCTGAACATTTTAGTACCTACTATATATATGCAAAATTTGAAGTAAAACGCATTGCATGATGAAAAATTTGGTCCTGAAAGTGTAAGACGTTTTGTTTTAAAAACCGGTGTTCAAATTTAAACTCCTGTTTGAATATAAAATATCTTGAAAATGTCAATGAAAATGTATTTGTGGTGCTTTATAAAAGCTAATGACTTTCTGACAGAAATATTAAGTTGACCTGAGTTCATCCTTGATTAAATTTTATTTGAAAAGTAAAGACAGTATTTGACTGAGGACGTGGACATAATTCTCTTGAATCAAGTTTAAACTTTTAAACTAAAACTCTTTAGTACCAAACTTCAAAAGAAGTGAGAATAAGGAACATTAAGGATAGATTTGACTTAAATTAGAAAGTTTATTTATACTTCAGTGTGTCTTGGTGACCTACAGAATTCTGAGGTAGCATTAGTGTCTCTCAAAAGACTGAAAGATAATTTCTTGGAAATTCACGGTGCCAGGAGCACAGCTATGAAAAAAATCAGTGGCATGGCATTTTAAAAGTGCAGTTAATATGTTGTAATACATGCTAGTAAAGGGCTCTAGGCCGAGCTTATAACACTTGGAGATTCCTTTTAAATTATGATTGTAGAGTGAGAAGAACAAAGGAAATAAAGCTTACAGGGACAGGGTTCATGCACAGAAGTACAGAAGTAGTTTGATGATTGTGAGATGGTTTCCTTAAAATCAAGTGGGGAAAAAAAAATCATTCTCTTGATCAGATTAACTTGCAGGTCATTCATATAGCTTAACTAATGATAATGCAGCTGTTTAGCTATTTCAGCAATTAAAGATACCTGGTGTATTATGGTTTTATTTTCTGTAAATATGTTTTGATTTTGTGGTTCAAATGTTTTCAAATTGAACGTGTAGTGTGATAAAAGTGTGATTGGATTATAATCTTGTCTGTTATGTTCTGCTTTGGAAAAAGTACAGGCACTGACATTAACAGTTAAAATAAAACAATGGCATTGTCTGTGTCAGAAAATGAACATGGAACAAGGTCAAGTCCTATTGTAAAGTGGTGAAATCCTGGAAGTGATGAAAGTACTGCTTTGTTATCTACCTTTTGCAGCTCGGAAAGTGAATCTGGCTCCCAAAGCGCATGTGATCAGCTTGTAACCCCCACGGCATTAGCAGCCTGTACCAGGGTTGACTCCTGTTTTACTCCTTGGTTCGTGCCATCACTAAGTGTGGTGATCCAATTTACCTGTTTGGAAGTCCACCTATGCCATCATCTTGATCAACTTGGCACAGGTATGTACTCCTTCGTGTAGCACAGTAAAAGCATATAGTTCATACGTGCTGCTTAACCACTCTTTTGCTGTCTTCATTTCCTCATTCAAACAGGCATTCTTGAAATAAATTATCACAATCAACCATCAGTGGTACAGGCTTCAGGGTAAAACTGATGACTTCTGTGCACTGAAAAAGTACATATGGTAGGCAGTGAGGCTGATCAGCCCCTTCCTGCCTCCGGAACGGGTAACTGTAGAAGCCGTCTGTGTTCCGTAGTCTGATTAGTGACAGCAGGTGCCACTTCACTTTTGAGCCATTTTCCAGCATATTAACAGTACTACTAAAATATTTGAAGATTTTGCGACCCCCTTAGTAAGAATTCCTTGGAAGAGTTCTGAGAACTGCAGATTTAACTGTCATTTCAGTTAGAATCACTTTTGGAGCTACATATGGTTTGGTTCAGTGCTTTCTGTCATTGCATTAATGGCAAATACATTCCAAGAGATCTTTAGATTGTTGTCTGATTTTCAAATACCAGAAATGCTTTCTGTGGAAGATGGGCAAACTTCTTGGATAGTTTTGACAGGGACAGCTTTGTTTGTGAGTAGTTTTTGTGTCTCTGCAAGTATTATAATATATTCATTATCAAATCATATCAAAAATGACATTCAATGACTAGCAAATAATTTCTTGTCTATCAGCTACTTTTATCAGTACATAATTTTCCTCACTATTGCACTACAATTCCAGATGCTCAGTCTTTAAAAGTACGTATCCTGGAAAAGGCAAAAATCAGATTAAAATCAAACCCAGCTGTTTCATTTTTTAATAGTGGCTGAGTTTATGCTGTTGTTGCTGTTGTTACAGCATCTAGAGGCCTTAAGTTTTGGAACTCCTTTGTGCTGTTATACACAAAGGGAGCACAAAACTTACTGTATCTATTACACTTTTGTAGAATAATAGGGCTTGATCCTGGATAGAGAGGAGTGTTTTGGTTCCAAACCTGTAGACCATTAGAGCATATGCTGATTTTAAGCATTTGAGTAGTTCCAGCAACGTAAATAATAACATCAGTGGAAATATTCACATGCTTAATGTTACACAAGTGGTATACATGCCTTGCAGTGTCTGCTGCCTCAGTGCTCAGCACTTTGCAGGACTGAGACTTCAATGAAGGTGATAAAATCTTCTTTGTGATATATTTCTCATGCTTTAGTCTCAGGATAGTTTTGTTTCATATCTAGCATCATGGGGTAATATGTCGCATCTCAGGGGGTTTGTGGTCTTGAGCTGTCCATAACTGCAGCAAAGACACCTTCCACTGTGGAGCCTGTCAGCCTGCACTGTCACATGTCAGCAAATAGCATAGTGCTAATTGTTATTGTGTTCATAATGTGCTGCGTGTGGAATATCATGGACATCTACTATAGCAAAAAATCTCACAGAAATATGGTCTCTCCTCCAAATAGGCAGCAATCTGAAGTATTTAGCAGTGTGTAGATAAAGCAGTTTGGTGGCTGGTCTATTTACCATGAAAAGATTTTGGTTTGCAGATACTTTTGTTTGCAGTTGCTATTAATTACAATTCTATTTTACATCTAACAAACAGTGTGAACAGCATTCATTTCAGATTTCAGAAATGTCAACTCTTCAATGAATTTTATTTGTTTTCATCTTATGTACAAGCAGTTAGCACACAATTTACAAAAACATACAAATATGGTGATGGTGATGTTCTAGTCCTGTTTTTTCTTTCACTTTTCAGCACCACCAAAGTTTCTTCAGCCATTTTTATCTGATAAGAACATGCCATCTGAACTAGAATACATGATAGTTTCCTTTGATGAGCCTCATGTATATCTTCGTCAGTGGAACGATGAGTCAGTGTTCCAGGAGATCCAGTTTTCAACTCAAGCCAACTGTAAACTTTTGGAGTGTCGAAATGTGACTCTGCAGAGTGTTGTGAAACCTTTAAAAATCTGGGGTCAGATTGCTATTTCCAGCAGCACAAGAAGAAGGCTATTGGACTGCACAATAATGGTCGACCCCATTTTCATCAACTTTGGCCAATATGCACTTCATTCTTTAAATACAGCAATTCAAGCTTGGCAGCAGGTATGCAAATGCAATAGTGACAATGTAACTACTGTGATTAATTTAATAGCAAATTAGAATAACAACTGCATTCATTGAAAATATTCCAAGATGTAAAAGCTGTAGCTTATACTGGAAGTGATTTTGACTAATAAACATTAATTCTGTAATATCAATGAAAATTAGGAGACAATGTTTGCTATCTGTAAAGGTAAATGTAGCCAAAACTGCTTACATTTCAGTGAAACTACATGGATTTCTATCAGAATAATCAAAATCTTGGTCTTAAAATGCATAATATTCCATTAATTTATGAAAAGGTGAGTGGAACATGATATGTAAGCACAGCTAAGTCTGAGCACCAGAGCATATTGTTTCCAGCTACTACTGCCATCCTTATTGAAGTTCAACACTAGTTTCACATTACATTGTGTGCAAGCAGCATTAATGGCAGAAGCCAGTCCCAGTATAAGGAACCTTGCTTCTGCAATGACCCCTCAAAGGCCTGTAATTCCCTTATTCCACTATAGCCTTGAAATCAAATCATTCTCTTCATCTGCCTGAAGACCTATGTGGAGCCTGGGAATTAATTACCTATCATGGCACTACAATAACAAAACCCCCAAAAAGGATAAACCATCTGTTTTATATCAAAAAATTCTTTTTTAAGGGCATTCCTTGGTTTTCTTGTTGCAAAAGGACATTCATAAAACAAGATCTAGTGTGATTTAAATCTTTACAGCTGGCTCGAATATCAATGTGAACAAAAATCTTTGTAGCTCCAATTTCTGTTTTTTGTCATATTTTGAACAATGCTTTTAATAAAAAACAAACATAGAAAGTATAAGAGAGTCCTTGATAGGCTGTTTAAACCCAAAATATTTCTGACTTAGTACTACTCCCTCATCTAAGACATGTGTGGCAACTACTGCAAAATGGCCTTCAGAAAGGTCAGTTTCCCCTTAGGATGGAAAAAAAAAAGATCTCTCAGACATAGCTATACATATAAATAAAATATGGTGCATAAATATTTAAATGTTTTAAACCACATCACAGTGTGAGTGACTGACTGACTACTCTGTGCCTTGAAGGAATATTCTGAGTTGAAAAAAATGGAATTGTATATTTGATTAAGTAGAGCCATATGTCGCATAGTATATTGCTGACAGGTACATTCTATGAATAGTTGGTACTGATTTATACATGGATTTGGCAATGTTAGCATGAGCCACAGGAGGATATACTTCTGTAATTGTTGCTGTAATTTTCTCGTTTCCTCTCATGTCAAGGGTACTTGCCACCATGTTCTGATGTGGTGGGTATCTAGCCCTGAGTATTTGAGAATAAAAACTTGCATTGCTTTGAAATTAGGAAACAGTTAACACACAAGTGGGTTCAAAATGGATTATTACATTAATTGTTGCCAAGATGTTTTTTATGTGACTTTACCTCCAGATTGGGAAGCTGGCATGCGCTGCGTGGGGAGGAAATAAATTTCCCAATAATAAGCGTTGTTTAACGTTTGCTGTTCACACAAAATGCAATACAAATGCTGCAACTAGAAGCATTTATTTAATAACCAGGAAAGGTTATTTGAATTTTCCACGTATTCTTTACTGGATTAATATCTGAAACAAGTGATGTTGTAGTCAGTAGACAGACAGATGAAGCATGAAACAATTTGGCCCTGCACCTTTAGGTCAGGAGTTCAGAATTACCAGAAGCCTCTGTCAGTGTCTTTGTTTCCTAGATATGGACTGGGTTTTTTTTCTAGTTGGTTTTTTTGGTGTGTTTTTTTGTTAATTTGTTTGTTTTCTGGTTTGGGGTGGGTTTTTTTTTGGGGGGGGGGGAGCTTTGAGGTGTTTTTTTTGTTTAAGTAATGGTGAACAACTTGAAAGTAGATTGAACCTGAAAAACACCAGGCACACAACTTGCTTTATACTTCTAAGTCACATGCTGAAAATCTAGAGGATTAGCACTTTTAAAAAACAGTTTCCCCCTTTGACATATTTCATTGTCTAATCTGAAATCCCCATTTAAATACAAACAGTACCTAGTTAATGAACATCTAAATGCAAAGCTAGAGTAATGGGTTTAATCAAAGAGCTGGACCGGGAACTTCAAGGTTGTAATTAATTTAGTTTTATTATTTGGTAATAACACATAAACTATCAAGTGAGGTAGAAAATGCAGATCTCCTGTGAATATAATTGGGGTGAAGGATGTGGTGATTTTTTTCCCTTTATTTGGGCAGTTAAGCCTTCACAAATTGTTTTACAGCATTAGCACTTTGTGATATCTAGAGACAGAGGGTCAGTTGAGAAAACAGCTCCCCAGGTGTGGATGGTACTGAATGTTATTCTTGGGAAAAATCTATTCCTTTGTGGTTTTGCATTGCAAATGTTTTCCAAAACTCCTCGGAAGTTACAAAAGCTCCTGTTTTAAACCTATTTTAAACCACTAGAACTTACTTTCCTCAAGGTCTGCATGGTGCTTAACCTTTCTGTTGGCAGTTGCATAAGTTTTCTTAATAGCCTGGGATCAGTCAAAGTGACATCTTGTGATCACAGTAGTTTCCCCATCTTTCTACCCTAAGCACAAAGAACAAAGGGAAAGGATACGGGAAGTTTCTAGCTGACAATGTCAGGACATCTCTCTGAGAATGAAATTTAAAGAATCCTAAGGAAAATGTTCTTTTCTCTTAGAGGAACTTCAAAGGAGATAAGAAATTGCTAAAGATTTTCTGTCCAAAAAACATTACTAGGTGAGAGTGTGTGTGTGTACATGAGGGAGAAAAACAGCTTGCAGAAGTCTTCAGTAGCTTGTGAAGCACAAAGAAAATAACCTTGTGGATATAAAGAGACCTAGGCTTTTATTTGTTTCTTGTTTTTTTTTGTTATTTGTTTTTTGTTTCCAGATCCAGAAATGCTTTGAAATAACTAAGAGCTGAGACATGAGCAGAAAGTCCTGAATGACTAGGGAAAACCTGGTGACTAGTATTACGTAGGATGTTTTCCCCCTTCTCTGTATAGAATTCACAAAATATTTGAAAGCCCAATAAAGGAGAGACAATTTCCAGGTTCTCTGAGAGAAAAGAACAGCTGAAAAATTATCTTAAGAGGGGCAGGAAATTGTCCCCCAGTAACTGACCCTAGTCTATATCTGATTCAGGCTGTTGATCTTTCGCTGATTCTTTTGATTTGCTGTTTTAATTGAGAGAGGAAATTTTCTTCCCAATCCACACGTACGTATTTTCTGCTCCTGGAATCATCATTCAGCCCTGCAGCATCATTGCCACACAAATGGCACAGTTCTATTTGTTTTTATTATGGCTGGTTTCTCTAGACTCTCTTTTATCAGTCAAGACTTCCTCGCTCCATCTTTTTGCTGACTTTTTATTTTCTCCCTTTCTGCTTACCTCCTAGAAGCTTCTACTGTCAGACTTCAGTAGCAAAGTGGGATCCATCTCCCTGCGATGGGTGCAAGGACTTGCTGCAGATCCTCAGGGACCAAGAAGCAGGGGTGCTATTCTGTCTGGGAAAAATCTCCTGTCTTTACTGCAAGGAGAATAAGAGTTGCTTAGAACCCTGCCTGTGCAGTGAATAGTTGCCATACACAGCTAAAACATCTCCAAGCTTCCTTGAGGTTCCTTTAGTCATCTCTTATTGCCAAGGCCTGAGGCATCAGTAGCTTTCTCTTAAGCCTGGCAGCATGGACCAATGCTTTATTATGCAAATCTTGGTATTTCCTGGGTTAAAACCTTGGAATTGTTATAAAATTGAGTTTCATTTAACTTTGAGAAGTGTTGCTGTTAAAAACATTGGATTCTAGTAGCAAACCTAGCATTTAAGACTAATGACTAATGGCAGTCATTCATCAGCAGCAAAATGTGTGGAAGTTTTTTAATAATTCCTGATGGGATAACATTCCCCCAGCACAATTTAGGAGTTCTATGCATGCCAAAAACTTGCTGGATTCTCTTTTCCCTCTGGAAAATGCAAGAACCTTCAATTTGTGTTTACTTACTTGAAACTAAGTTAGTTAGTAAGGTAAAAAGAAGGAAGTCTGTCACTTTCTGGTGTTGTTTTTCCAGTCTCTACATAATCAGCAAGAAAGTGTATTGGAGTAAAAGAAAAACCTTTTCTTAAATTCCCCCGGGGTTAGATCTAGGTTTGACTATAGCAACATGCTTAGCTTTGTGGATAGTAAATCCTCCCGTTGAAAAAGAACATTTTGCAAAGCTATTATAGGAAAATATATATATTTGTGGTAGACTTATGGGTATGTGGGTATGGCAACTTGACAGCAAAAAGTCATAGATCCTCCACTAGAAAATGCCAAAATAAACTCTGCACTCTGAAGTGGCACTGTAAATGTCAGCCTTTAGCACACCCAGATCTGCTACTGAATGTGATACAGACATATTTCTCTGTAATGAATTTTGCTGCTTGGAAGAAGTGTAGTTTTGGTTATGCTTAACCTAACTCCTGTTTCACAGAACATACCTGATCTTACACAGAACAATTCATGAGATGTGGGGAGAAACCATTAATCTAAATATTCTCACGCTTAAATACTCCTTGGGTGAATAGTTTTTGCACAAACACTCCCAGCCAATCATTTTGATATTTGTTTACAAAAGGAATTACAACCTGCCATAATTAAGGACAAAGGGCAATGGGCACAAACTCAAAGACAGGAAGTTCCATCTGAACATCATGAAAAACATCTTTACTGTGAGGGTGACAGAGCACTGGAACAGGTTGTCCAGAGAGGCTTCAGCAGAGGGGTTGGAATAAATGATGTCCTCACCTTCCAACCCCAACCATTGTAGGTGGTTCTGAAGTTTATAACGGTGGTGAACATGCATTCAAGGATGCTAAATTAGACATACCTTGCACACCTCGATTTCAGAAAAACTCTTCCATGCGCATCACCCAGCAATGGGCTACAAGCCAGGTACCAGACAGTTCTTCATGGATAACTGAGGATCCATTGGGATCTGCGAAGAAAGATTTCTCTCCCTCTTGTTTGATCTCTGAGTTTCTGCAGGCATCCAAGCACATTGTCATCAAAGAACTGAGAAACTCATATAATTAGAGATGGGGAAGGTGCTAGCTTTGTTAGGTCCTTTTAAAAGGTCCACCAAGAGAGCAAGGAGGGGATACAGCTCTTAGAAACCACGGAGGTTCCGTAAGTTAGAGAAAACATCATGGAAAGAAAGGATGAGAAAAGACCAGCTGGGCTATGTTATGAAGAAGGAAACCAACCAACAGTAAAATGTTGTCCAAAGTGTGTGCTAGGAAAGATGGGTCAAAAAGAGGTAAAAAAACCCACATGAAGATGAATCCTTTGTGTTATTTAATTGCATGAAAACTATCCAAATGTTACTTTCTCTGAGTAATTGTTATGGTTGCTAGATAGTTGCTTGTAAGTGGAAGGTGCCAGCCCAGTAGTGACTAGAGCAGAAATATATGAGAGATGATCTCCAAATCAAATTGTCAGTCACACTTTGACCTCTCCCATACAGGGGATTATAGTTCGTGCCTTCAGGAACGGAAAACCTGTAGCTCTGGTAATTTTCATGACTATCATATAGTCTCATTGTGTCAACAAAGTGACAAGCAGCCAGATGAAAAGCAGAAAGAGAGGGATGGAAGGATGCTGCAGGCTGGAGAAAAATATTGTAAAATCAGAAATACTTTTAAAACCCTTGATATTTTTTTTTCCTTTTAAATTGCATAGTGCATTTTCAAACTAGCCTCATGGACCTGTGAAAATACCCTCCCCATATCTCTTGCTTTTTCTTTAGTTGACTTTTCAAGTGTTGTGGTATCAGGAGAGGGTCTTCTTCTGCTGACCCGCAGCAACATTTCAAAGTAGAAGCAGCAGCTGGGGAAAAGGAAGTGCAACCTGTTGGTCTCAGAGATCAGTTGTCAAGCATGGAGAAACCTCTTCATGCCTCCCTGCTCAGTTTGTAGTGCCCTGTCTGCCCTGTGTGACATGTCATTTCCCACAGAATGGAATTCTGTTGAACTTTTTTACCCAAGTTAGGAAATTTAGTCTTTATTGTAGTTTTAAATCTAAGATTTGCTTTACAGAAACATAAAATAAAATATGATAAGTCTTATTTTTGTCAACCTATTTTGTCAATCTAAACAGTATATTTTGCAGAGAGTAGAGTACTATGAGACCAAAGCTAATCGAAGAGATCTTGCATTTCTGTGTTTTAACAGTCGCCCCTTGGCAGGCAGCTGCCAAATGTCTTGCTTCTTACTGACTTTCATATCCCTTTCCTTCCAGAACCAATGCCCTGAGGCAGAGGAGTTAGTCTTCAGCCATTTCGTGATCTGTAATGACACACAAGAGACACTGCGGTTTGGCCAGGTGGATACTGATGAAAATATTTTGCTGGCCAGTCTCCACAGTCACCAGTACAGCTGGCGCTCGCACAAATCCCCGCAGGTATGTCAGAAACAATCCTCCCAGTAGAGCATTTGCTAAAGCTGACTGGTGGCTTTACATGCTGATTCTTTGGTTTTCTCTGTGGCCTTGACTATCTCTAAAGCTCCAGTTCCTTCAGGAGTCACATGCTGGGGCTGCAACAGGGAGAAAAGGTAAACATAAAGTGAGGAAAGCCAGAAGTGTTTAGAAGTTACTCAAGGGTGGAACTGGATGTGCACGACCGCTTTTTGTAAAACCGAGTGCTTGTGGAAACTGACGCTTCTGAAAAAAGAGGAAGACAGCTTGCCAGGTTTTTATAACTAAGTGATCAGTGTCTGTTTTCTGAGATGTACATTAGAGGTTTGGGGAATTTTTTTTTAATGAATTGTTTTTACCAGAAGCATCTGTTCACTGAAATTGCTTGCAGAACAGAGTCAAACTGGACAGAGCTCTCAACTTAGCATGTGCTTGCATTGGAAAAGATTTGAAGTTGAGAGAAACACCCCACTTACATTGTTTAAATAATACAGTTTCTGTTTCTTTGATTTTATTTGAAGAATAAACACTGAAACTGAAATAAAATATTTTTAAACTATCAACAGGAAGTATTTAAATAAAACCATAGAATCATTTAAGTTGGAAAGACCTTTAAAATCATTGAGTCCAGCTCAGCACTGCCAAGTCCACTGCTAAACCATATCCCTAAGTGCCACATCCACACAGCTTTTAAATACCTTCAGGGATGGTGACTCGACCAGTTCCCTGGCCAGCCTGTTCCAATGCTTCATGACTCTTGCTGTGATTTTTTCCTAATATCCAATCTAAACCTCCCTGGCACAACTTGAGACCACTTCCTCTTGTCCTATCACTTGTTACTTGGCAGAAGAAACCAACAGTTGAGTGATGGTGAGAAATGGACTTTTCATCTTAGTTCAAGACAAGATAGGAATTTAAATTTTAAAAAAAGAAAATGTTGATGAGACAGCAAACCCATTTCTTCTCTTTTCTTAATATATACCCAACTCCTACTGAGTGGTAGACTAGATACCTGTGCCACCCTACTTGTTGAGCTGTAGTCCTGCCCTGAAAAGTTACTAAAATTTTTACAGATCCTAGGAGAAGTATAATGAACAGGGGTTCCTAACTCCTCTAGAGCCCTAGAAGAAACCAGTATTAGCATGTGAGAAATTGGATCATAATTCTAAACAGAAGCTGTGCCCACTTTCACTGCTGGCAAGTTTCAACTTACATTGGGAAGCAGAGATGGCAAATTTACTGTAGTTTTCCTTCACATGTCAACTGGTGGATGTGCAAAACTACTGAATTTTACATGAATGTGGTGATCTGTGCAGAGAAAATTCAGCCAGAGTAAACAGTTGTAGTTGACACTGAAGTCAAGGCATAAGTTAAGAGGAAGCCAGACTAATGAAGGTCTGTATTACCCCAGCGACAGAGGAGCTGTTATAAACAGTGTGTGCACAGAGGGAGGCCTTTGGAGACTTAGAGACTTTGGAGAACTGTACATCCCTTTTCATGTTTTCAAAAAAAAAACGTATGTTTTCTCATACAAGCAAAAGGCCTGTGATGTCCCAGCCCACAGGCGAGCAAACCAAATGGGTGACTGTGCTCTGTGCAATTGGGCACGTGTCAGAGTGTGAGACAGGATCCCCACTCATCAAGTGACACTTGGGTTATGACAGGTGTAATTCTCTTCAGTTGTGTGAGGGAGAAAGCAAGCTAGCTAAATGTGACATATATTTCATAAGCAATTACTATTTACTTTTGTTGCAACCACCAAAAAAACATTTAAACCTTTTCATAAACACGTGGAAGAAGAAGGAAGTGTTTAAAGCAATTGTAAATAAACCCAGAACTAAAGTAAGGCTTTCTTCCTCAAAATTTGTTAAATCTGTATTCTGGTTACTTATATAAAATTATTTAGTTGTGAATCCATCAGAAAACCAAATCACACAAAAGGGAGTGGGTGAGGTGACAGCAGAACTTAAGATTCTTTTTTCAGATATTCATCCTTCAGCTGAGTGTTGGTGATGTCAAAGGGTTTCCCCATTCTGTTTTACTCTAATCAGATTTAGATTCACTGAAGAACTGGGCTGATAAACAGTCAGGGGTGTCATGATGGATTCCCAAATCCCAGGAGATGGCAAAGATAACAGCTCACTCCTAACTCAACCATATTGCTGGCCAGCAGGGCGGGGGGGTTATACCTCCCTTGTCCCAGCCCTTGGAATAATTTCAAGACGATTTCTACTCTCTTAACATTTTTCAACAGCTTTCTCTTGCTGAGAAATTTAGAGACTAAAAAATAGCTGTGGTAATGTCACTGAAAATAATATATAGAAGCACAGGCTTTCCACACTCTGTTGAGATAGAAACAAATTTTCTTTACAAAGGTCGGAAAACCTTGGCATTCCCCGTAAGCTTATTCGTTTGGTTCATGCCAAATACGAATCACTGTAAATGTAACATGCTTCAGAATGGCAGCTCATCTAAACTGTACAATCCTTTGTCGCTTCAAATCATACAAAATAAGTTTAAGTATTATTACAAACGTTGTCATGTACATTTTTTCAGTGATTAATACAAATCCTTGAAATGAAAATAACGACTCAATCAAGACATCAGGTTGTCCCTGTTATGCTGTGGCACTTTTCTAATTGTTTCCATGCAAAACTATCTAACAGCTTGTTATCCAAAGGTCAGAATAATGCCCAAGCATGGACAAACCCTCTGAGTGTCATATTCATGGAATGCTAGATGACTTCATAGTTATGAAATTATTTCATTTCTCATGATAATTCCTGACTTGCCAAGTTAGTGAATTTTAAGAACTCTGAGAGCCGATTGTAAGATAAATGTGAAATAATCCATACTTCTGGAGTCAGGGACTTCCCTCCAGGCATTAGTTCATACTTGACTTACTTGACTTACTCTTGGGGATAAAATGAGTTAGGACAAGGTCTTAGATACCACATTCTCTTACTGGGAAAGAAAACCAACTTGCACAACTTCAGCTGGCTCATGTTTCTTGTTACACATGCACTAAGAAGCAGCGGTTGCCATGAAATACTTTATTTAACCTCTGCAAAATGTTTTTTTAGTATGGCAAGGCAGTTCAGTTAAATGAAAATAAATAGTTTTAAAAGGATTGTATTTCTTTTACATTCACATCAATAAAATTCTCCATTTTTCTTTTGCTAATTAAACATAGAGATGCAGTAATTGCCCATTTAAACTATTTAACACAAATATATATATATATAATAAGTTATATTTTGTATTAGCAGATAGTTGTATAATGCTTTATTTCCATTTCAAATTAATTTTAATATTAATGAAGCTACCATACTCTATAATTAAAAATTGTTCAACTTTTTCATGTTACAAAAACAGCTAGAGCACACCAAGGATTTGGATTTTTCAACTCTTGATGGTGTCCCTCCAACTGTTTTGCTTAACTTAAAGCTCCTTGCTTCTTTTGTTTTTTCCCTGCCCAGATTCTCTACATTTCAGGAACCTAACCTTTCCCTTCCATTCTGAATACTGCAGGTCTTGCTAGTTTGGCTAATATTTCAGTAAGAAGTCTGACGTCCAATGCTCACTCTTCTATGCCTCTCCATCCCCCACATTTTCCTCAGATTTCATGAGGTTTTGACCTTCCTTAGGGATAAGACACCCCTGACTATGTGGTCCCTTTCAGAGTTGAGGTAGTACAGTCCCTTTCAGAGTCCAAAACTGATGGTATTTGAGGATTTAAGCAATTCTAGCTAAAGCTGCCAGACTTCGTGAATTCCTCTTGAAAATTTTAATGAAAGTTAGAGGTCTGTTAGATATCATTAAAAAGGAAGAGAAGCTGCATCACTCCTGTGCTGTACAGACAACACTGGCTTCTAGATCATTATTGGATCCAGTCTGCACTCCTTATCTTGATCTTCACATTGCTTAGTGGGATGGGCCCCAGTTATGTCAAAAGTCACGTTTGTCTCCAAGACAGCTGTGTTTTTTAGGAGAACTGGAGCATACGATACATAGGGTGAAACTCTGAAGTTAGAAGAGATCAAATCTTCGTAGCAATTTACTAGAGTTAAGGAATTCTGTCCTGCAAGACAGTAGGCAGTTGGAGGGTCCCACTAGGGATCACAGCAAATGTAAAAACCAACTATTCACGCGAGGGTCCCCTGAATGTATTCTGCAGATTGTTTGCTTGTGAATAGACAGCGAAAATTGTCTATAACATGCTAGTTATTACTCATTGTTTTCCCCACACAAACTTCAGCAGAGTCCTCTGAAGAAGCAAAGAGTGATGGATTTGAGTTCATTCTTTTGTTTTCTATATAAAACATAATGTTACGTAGGAGAAGTTTTTAGAAGTAGCAGTTCTCAAAC